GGCTCTGGATGCGCAGACCCAGCGGCCATGGCTCACGGGCCCAGCCGCTCCGTGGCACGCGGGACCTTCCCGGACCGGGGCACGAACCCGTGTCCCCTGCATCGGCAGGCGGACTCTTAACCACTGCGCCACCAGGGAAGCCCCCGGGGATTTTTTTTTTTTTTTTTTAATTTTTTGGCCATGCCAGGTGGCTTGCAGGATCTTAGTTTACCGACCAGGGGTTGAACCTGGACCCCCAGCAGTGGAAGCTTGGAGTCCTAACCACTGGACAGCCAGGGAATTCCCTCTATAACGGGAATTTTCAATTGCATACAAAAGAAGAGAAACTGTTCATTGCAGCACTATTAACAATAGCCAGGATATGGAAGCAACCTAAATGTCCATCGACAGAGGAATGGATAAAGAAGATGTGGTACATATATACTGTGGAATATTACTCAGCAATAAAAAAGAACGAAATAATGCCACTTGCAGCAACATGGATGGACCTAGAGACTGTCATATTGAGTGAAGTAAGTCAGAGAGAGACATATGATATCGCTTATATGTGGAATCTACAAAAGGGTACAAATGAACTTATGTACAAAACAGAAATAAGAGATACAAATGCAGAAAACAAACATGGTTACCAGGGGGTAAAGTGGTGGGCGGGAGGGATAAATTGGGAGATTGGGAGTGACATATACACACTACTATATATAAAATAGATAACTGGGCTTCCCTGGTGGCACAGTGGTTGAGAATCTGCCTGCCAATGCAGGGGACATGGGTTCGAGCCCCGGTCTGGGAAGATCACACATGCCGCGGAGTAACTAGGCCCGTGAGCCACAACTACTGAGCCTGTGCGTCTGGAGCCTGTGCTCCGCAACAAGAGAGGCCGCAATAGTGTGAGGCCCGTGCACCACGACGAAGAGTGGCCCCTGCTTGCCGCAACTAGAGAAAGCCCTCGCTCAGAAATGAAGACCCAACACAGCCAAAAATAATAAATAAATTCATTAAAAAAACAACAACTAATAAGGACCTACTGTATAGCACAGGGAACTCTATTCAGTATTCTGTAATGGCCTATATGGGAGAAAAATCTAAAAAAGTGGATATATCTATAACTGATTCACTTTGCTGTACACCTGAAACTAACATAACATTGTAAACCAACTATACTCCAATAAAAATTTTTTTAAAAAATAGAGGAACTATTACAATGAACTCGTGTACCCATCACTCTGCTTCAACAATTTCCAGCTCACGGTCAATCTTGTCTTATCTGTACCCCCATTAACTTATCCCTCTGGTAATATTTGTGTGTGTGTGTTGTAAATATTAACTCATTAATTTTTTTATTGTGGGAATATATACATTACATAAAATTTATCATTTTACCACTTTTAAGTATATGATTCAGTGGCATTAAGTACATTCATACTGTTGGGCAACTATCACCACTATCCATTTCCAGCACTTTTTCATCATCTCAAATAAGCTCTGTATCCACTAAACAATAACTCCTCATTCCCACCTGCCCCCCTGGTGGCCTCTACTTTCTGTCTCTACAAATTTGCTTATTCTAGGTACCTCATAGAAGTGGAATCATAACATATTTGTTCTTTTTATTTTCAATCTATGTATTTTTGGCTGTGTTGGTTCTTTGTTGCTGCATGCGGGCTTTCTCTAGTTGCCGAGTGGAGGCTACTCTTCGTTGCGGTGCGCGGGCTTCTCACTGCAGTGGCTTCTCTTGTTGCGGAGCACGGGCTCTAGGCACGCGGGCTTCAGTAGTTGTTGCTCGCAGGCTCTAGAGCGCAGGCTCAGTAGTTGTGGTGCACGGGACTAGTTCTTCCGCGGCATGTGGGATCTTTCCAGACCAGGGCTCGAACCCATGTCCCCTGCATTGGCAGGCGGATTCTTAACCACTGCGCCACCAGGGAAGTCCCCATATTTGTTCTTTTGTGTCTGACTTATTTCATTTTGCATAACGTTTTTAAGGTTCATCCATCTTGTTGCATATATCAGTTTCATTCCTTTTTAAGGCTGAATGACATTCCATTGTATGTATGTACCATATTTCGTTTATCCATTCATCCGTCCATGGACATTTAGGTTGGTTCCACTTTTTGCTATTAATGCTGCTATGAGCACTGTTGTATAAATATCTAATTGCATCCTTGCTTTTACTTTTTTTTTTTTTTGCGGTACGCGGGCCTCTCCCGTTGCGGAGCACAGGCTCCATGGCTTACGGGCCCAGCCGCTCCGCGGCACGTGGGATCCTCCCGGATCGGGGCATGAACCCGCGTCCCCTGCATCGGCAGGCGGACTCCCAACCACTGTGCCACCAGGGAAGCCCCGGGAAGCCCCTTGCTTTTACTTTTAATTCTTTTCGGTACATACATAGGAGTGGGATTTTCCTTGTTTTTTTTCTCTTATGTGTGCTTTTCAAACAATCAGATTATCTACAGTACATATTAGTCATTCCCAGTCCAAGTTCTTGAAATCCTAGCCATGACTCAAGAGAGAACATCTAAAAACTACATATCTGGATTACATTATCCTAGCTTTCTGTAGAAAACAGGCTTAAGGAGCCTCCTGTCATTTTTGTCAACATGAGACATCCATCTGTAGACAATTTCTATACCTTTCATGAAACCAGCTACGAGCATCAACCAGCATTTATATAAGAATCCATGTCAATTCTTTTTCCTAAAAATGCCGAAAGAAAATTGTTTTAAAAAGCCAGGAAGAATTGGCTCCTCAGATGAACCTGTATGTTCCTTTGATCAATTAAGGCTATGCATCACAAGGGATTTTTTTCCTGGCCTTCTGGGAAACTCACAGATAAAATGTCACATTTGGAAAATTATCCCATTTCAAAAGGCCTGCTGCATCTATTTCTGCCTTCTGATTTACAACCTCACTTTAAAATGTTAAATTCTGTTCTTAAAAAGTGTCTGTAACCACATCTGCTAATTGAGGTATACTGTAAGCAATCCAGGTACTGAACAATCACATAGTTTTGAATTCTCCAAAACGATCTAGAGCCAATATATATCTTAAAAATATATTTAAAAAAACCCCCAAATCTCAGTTTTTGTTTGCAAAAGGTGAAGGAGACCTGGTTGAATTCAGGGCCAAGATATCCAGAGAGAGAGAGGAGGGGAAATGTGAAGAATGGGAGAGTCACCTAGGGGAGGCTGGCAAGCTGTCTTCTGCAAGGTTGCACAGGGTAGCACTCATTTTACAAAGCCCCTTTGCCTTGAAGGCCCAGAAACCTGCTGTGAGTCAGCACAAGGAGATTGTCCATTTATCCGGGCCAATCTCATCTCAGGGAAGCTCCCAGAGTAATGTATGCAACCAGGATTCCAGTTAATTTAGAAGGAGAATTGAAACTGCCTTTGAAACTTATGTGCATATGACCTGCTTATTCATGTCCAAAGGCTTCTGGGTCATTGACCCATCCATCCTTTCCCATTCATTGCCAGGTCCCATTGCTCCTCCTTTGTGCCTCTGTTGTCAACGGTGAGTTTCTTTACCTTCAGTTCTCATTTCCCAGAGCTGCTCATCCAAAACTCTATCACTTGAAGCCCACTTTAAATGCCTCCTTCTCTTCAAACGTCCTTTAAGCCTTCAAATTCAAAACAACCTCGTACTCAGAACTGTAAGAGCACATTGTTCCTTTCACACTCCTTTTCACTTTATTTTTTAATTATAATTATTTGTGTACATTACAGGAAGCCCGAAGACCGTTTCTGTGGTTTATTTATGTTTGAAACACCAGCGACCAAAACGGGGGCCTGATACAGGTTACAGCTGTCAAATATTCGCTGCACCAGTGAAAGACTTGGTAGTCTTGGGCGGGTCTCAAGAGTTACAGCCTCCCCACCTGTCCTACAGGACGGCTTTTCTTTTCCTTTTGCCGGAATGTAAATTCTCTTGAGGGTAAGTCTGAGTCAGCTTCGCTCTCCACTGTGTATCCAGGGCCGGCACAGGGTTCCGTATGTAGCAGATGCTCAGTAAATGTTTGCTAAAAGAATGAATTAACAAGGGAATAAGTGATTGAACGAATGACTCGATGGACTCCCCATTTCTTCCACCTGTGCATCTGTCCGCAGGGAATTAATAAACCCGCGGGAGCCAGCCGAGATTCACAGGACTCGCGGCGCTGGACTAGCCTCTGCGGTGGGGCGGGGCCTCCAGGGAGTCCCGTCCACGCGGAGGTGGAGAGTCTAGGGAGTCCCGCCCACGCGGAGGCGGGGCCTGCAGCGCGCGGGAAGTGGCGCGCGCGCGGCGGCGGCGGGAGCTGGCGGCCGCGGGGACTGACCACGTCCCTATAGGTAAGGCCGCGCTGGCTTCCGTGTCCCCGCGGTTTCCCGGCTGGACCTGGGGGCCGAGAGGCTCTCGCTGAGGGCCGGCCGCGAGGACCCGGGATAGCTCCTGAGAAGCGCGCGTCCGCGCGTCCGATCACCGCCCCGGCCCCGAGCGGCCTCCTCCCAGGCAGGTCCGGTCCCGGCTTCCCGGGCCCAGCGTCCCGTCCCGAGCGGCGGGAAGGGAGCTGCCTTCTCGCCTCCGGCCTCGGTCCGTTCCCCGGGCAGGGCCCTCCCCTGGGTGGCCTCCTCCCCCCAGAGAGCCACCTCCCCCGCGGTCCCGGCCCCTTCCCCAGGGTAGCCCCCTCCCACGCGGCCCACTCCCCCAGGCGGCCCGTCCCCGGCTCTCCGGGCTCGCCTGGCAGCCTCCCTTAAGCGGGGGCGGGCGCCCAGCCAGGCCCGACCCGGTGCCTTGATTTCCTCTGCCCGGGTGTCCCATTTTGCTTTTCCGGAGGTAGCAGGAGAATAAACTGAACAGCCACGACTCAGCGAACCATTTTAGGTGAAACGCTAGGTGTTAACGTCAGAGGTCAACAGTAACATCCTCTCCCAACGCAGCGTGCGTTTTTAACGGTTAGCAGAGTTCCTGGCTCCTACTAAGCGCTCAGTACATCAATCCTGCTATAATATTCACCTCATTGCCGACGATTTTCAGCTTTCCTCTCTGTCTTTGGAGAAAGAACGGTCCCCGAGGAACGGTATTCTGCCCCTTGAAGACTCAGGAGGATGAAAGTCATCACTTGTGAGATCGCCTGGCATAACAAGGAGCCAGTGTACAGCCTGGACTTCCAGCACGGAGCCGCGGGGAGGATCCACAGGCTGGCCTCCGCGGGGGTGGACACCGCTGTCAGGGTAAATGGGGCCGAGGCAGAAAGGCCCAGGGAAGCACTATTGAAGCAGCATTCTCCACTCTTCTGTTTATAATGAGTGTCAACAGACACACACTACTTAGTTATGTAGCCCAGAGGGCTAAATTCTCAGGGCCTTGAGTCAACAAGAAAGCAAAGGAGAGCACCTTTCTTCCTGGCATCCTGTTACCTAGAGTGATGTCACCGGGTGCCCATTGCTGTAGAACCCTGAGCCAGTTTCCTCCTGGGAAACACTTTGCACTAGAAAGAGGTGGGAGGCAATGGGGCTGTAGGTTTATGTTTCACATAGGAGTTCCTTCCTCTTATATTTCAAAAGAAAGACTAAATTTTCTTTCTGAAAATCAGCGTAGTGATGTTTCCGTCGGTACAGTATGGTGCGTGCTTGCTATACGTTCCTCTGAATGAATGTGTTTGTATCAGCAGATCTGGAAGGTAGAAAAAGGACCAGATGGGAAGGCCATTGTTGAATTTTTGTCCAATCTTGTTCGCCATACCAAAGCTGTCAATGTCGTGCGTTTTTCTCCAAGTGGGGAAATTTTAGCATCAGGAGGGGATGGTGAGTATTGTACTTCAAGATTCTTCAGAAACCAGATACCCATGTGTTTCATATTGAAGAGTGAGGTTTGAGCTAGACATACTCTGTTATTTTAGAGATCGCTTGACCCTCTCAATCTGTCATTTAGATAGTTTAGTAAAATAATGTTGTGGGGAGTGTGAAGGGGTGGAGGATGCAAAGCTTAAACTGAGAAGACCTGTTTGAAAATGGCCACTTTCCCACTTGCTCCCACTGGGCTGATCAGAGACAAGTAGGTAGGTGCTTACCATTCTAAGTCCCAAGGCAACTGGCCTGGCCTTGTTTGGCTGTCAGTTTAGCATCTGTAAGTGATCACAGTCAGTTCCATGTCTCTTTGTAATTAACGAATTAATTGGCTTAGGGAGTATAGACTAAACAGCCCTCTAAATTATGTTTCTTTGGTGGGAGTAGATTGATTCATATTTTCTGCTTGTGCTTTTTAAAATTTATTTATTTATTTTTTGCCTGTGCCACGCGGTATGCAGGACCTTAGTCCCCCGACCGGGGATTGAACCCGTGCTCCCTGCAGTGGAAGTGTGGAGTCCTAACCACTGGACCTCCGGGAAATTCCCCTTCTGCTTGTGCTTAAATGGCATAAAATGATACAGAAGAAGTAAATCTTTTTATCATGCTCTAAAACTAAGATAGTCTAGAAGTCAGAATAAAAAGAAAGAAGAAATCTCAGATGTTGTTTGAAGAAGGAGGGCAAGAAGCCTGGTTGAATTCAGTGCCCTGATGTCCAGTGTTTCCGTCGAGGGAGGGGTGGGGAGTGGCAGCAGCACAGGGGGCAGTGGGGAGGCTGGCGGGCCATCCTCTGTGAGGCTGCACAGGGCAGCGCAGGTCCTTTGGCCTCGAGGGCCTGGAAACCTGCCGTCAGTCAGTCAGCACGTGGAGAGTGCCGGTCCGTCAGGGCCAGTCTCATCTGAGCCAAGCTCCCCGGATTCCAGTTAATTTAGAGAGAGAACGTGTGTGTCCACACTACCGGCTGCTTCACTCTCCTTTGGGCATTCCTTGAAGGGAAGCCACGTCTTGGTCAGAAGGTTATGTGGTGAGCGTGGCGTCAGAACGTGGGGAGCTAGAGGACTCAGACAATTGGTGACATCACGCTGAGGTATCTGACACGTCCATGGTGTTAACGGCTGACACATGCACGGGCTTACCATGTGCCGGGCATCATGTGGTAAGTGCTTTATGCATTTGCCTCATTTAATGCTCACGATAGCTGATGAGCTAGGCACTGTTATCCTCATTTTACAGGTGAGGAGACCGAGGCATCAAGATGGGAAGTGACTGGCCGTAGGTTACACAGCTAGGAATGATTTGCCAACTCTTGCGTTGGTGCCTCTGTTGTTTCCTTATTCGGCCACTTACAGGTTATGCCTGTGGATTTGTTAATGTAGTCAGTCGCTTTGCAGTAGTGTTTTGCTGGCCTGGGGACACTTCTGTTTAAGGTGACCTTGTATAGCTCTGATCTGGTATGAGTTTGATTTTGGAGTTTTTGTTCGGAAGGCAAACTTGCTTTTCCTGCCCCAATTCTTAGAAGTAAATCCTTGTGGCCATAGTGTCTATTGAACAACATAGGTATTATTTAATACCCTAAAAATCCAGAAGTGAAGGAGCCATGCTTTGTAAAGCGTGGCTTATCTTTAACTGACTCGCTCCACAGATGCTGTCATTCTGCTGTGGAAGGTGAATGATAACAAGGAACCAGAACAGGTCGCTTTTCAGGACGAGGATGAGGCTCAGCTGAACAAGGAGAACTGGACTGTCGTAAAAACCCTGAGGTAACCTCGGGAGGGGCCTGGTAGGGATTTATCCTTACGACCTGGATGCATTAAGCTGATGCGCATTTTGACTATTTTTTTTTTGCGGTTCGCGGGCCTCTCACTGTTGTGGCCTCTCCCGTTGCGGAGCACAGGCTCCGGACATGCAGGCTCAGCGGCCATGGCTCACGGGCCCAGCCGCTCCGCGGCATGTGGGATCTTCCCTGACTGGGGCACGAACCCATGTCCCCTGCATCGGCAGGCGGACTCCCAACCACTGCGCCACCAGGGAAGCCCGCATTTTGACTTTTATATCTCACTTAAAACTTTTACTTATGCAAGACAGTAATACGGGCATAGTTTAAAAGATAAAAATATGATTAAAATGGATTTTCTTAGTTTGTCTTATAAAATTTTCCTTAGTAAACTTGAATCAATTTTAAAGATACAAATATCCTTGAAGGTAGTAGTTTATAGCTACAGCTAATATAGCTCTAGTGGAAATTCCTAAAGTCCCACTGTAATGTATGGTCCCTGAGTGTGCTTTTAAATTTTTGACAATTTTTTCTCTCCTTGAGACAAGAATTGCCTTTTCTCCTCTTTGTATTCTAGGGGCCACTTAGAAGATGTGTATGATATTTGCTGGGCAACCGATGGGAATTTAATGGCTTCTGCCTCTGTGGATAACACGGCCATCATATGGGATGTCAGTAAAGGTAGCTGATATGTTTTTGTTATTATCGGGGGAAGGACTATTCTAAGTGTCTAAAAAGCCGAACCTTTAAAGGCTTCAGAAGAGTTTTTTTAGTGAACTGAAATAGGTGTTTGGCATGACAGGTTGGGGATTAGCCCCATATGCCATGGATACACTGCATTTTTAAGGGCCCAGTCAGAATGTATGAGGCTTAGCAGTGGTGTCATGAGTTGCTGGTGTCAAAGCAAGGTAGATCGCACATGCTTGGGGGTGCAGACATGACGGGGCCGGCGGGGCGGGACACGGCTGATCCCTGCCGTCCTGGAACTTAGGATCTCGGGAAGTTAGCAAGTCATAATCAGTGAGGCATTGCATGCTCGATGTTGGGGTCGGTGGGATCAGGTTTCCATTTTGGGACATCAAGGCAAGCCAAGGACACCTCACTGCTTTGAAAGAGCCTGTTCACTAGTTGAGGGGACAGTAAACATGTGAGAAGTTACCGTAGGATGAAAATAGCAGTGAAATGCCAAAAGCCAGTGGTGGCTGACGCCTGACCACTTTTACCCCCTGCAGTCCTGTACTCAAGCTCGATGTCTTCTCCCAGACCTCTTCTCTTCTTCTTTATCTGCTGATTCTCCTGCAACCCAAGTGCCCAGGTCGGGAGTCAGGCAGCGGCATTGGCATCCCCTGTGGTCTCAGCACTGCATCAGCCCAGTTTTCATCCACGCTGTAGAGGCCTCTGTTCTTCGTTCTGTGCAGTCCAGCTGAAGCATCCTCTGTCTTGCCTCATTTCCGTCATGCTCTTTCTCATCAATCCCAGACACTCGGCAATGTGGAGGACCAGTGTCACTGTCTTCTTTTTCCCAAATCTGGCCGTGTATTGGATAATTTCAGTGTCCGTTGACACTCCATCAGCACCCCCTGAAGCCAGTTGTAACGATCTTGAACACTGCCAGCATGCTCGGCACTCTTGCAGGTGCTGGAGTATGCGTGAATACAATGGCTACGTCCTAGTGGGGTGTCAGACGAATACACAAACGTATGATGCCAGGAAGTGATAGAGCTCTGAAGGGGTCCAGGAGTGATAGGGTGATCTGGGAAAGCTTCTCTGAGCTTGTGGAGTTTGAACAGAGACTGGAATGAAGCCGGGGAGCAAGCCGTGTGCATTATTTCATGGGAACGGCAGGTGCAGAGGCCCGGCGGCCGGAACTGCTGCTTGTGTCCCAGGAGCAGGAAATCGCCAGACGGCAGGAGCAGGAGGGAGGGGGGACCTGAGGCTGGAGGGTGGCGGGTCCAGGCCACAGGGTCGGGTCTCAGATTGTAACCAAGGTGTGACCACGTGCTGCTGATGGGTTTTAAGCAGTAGACTAATGTGATTTCACTTATTTTTTAAAAAATATTTATTTATTTACGTATTTATTTTGGCTGCGCTGGGTCTTAGTTGCGGCACGCATGCGGGATCTAGTTCCCCGACCAGGGATCGAACCTGGGCCCCCTGTCTTGGGAGCGCGGAGTCTTACCCACTGGGCCACCAGGGAAGTCCCCTACTTATGTTTTTTTTTTTTTTTTTTTTTT